TGAATGCAGCCCGTAGACCGCGTCGACGAAGGTCATCGGTGAAGTCTGAACGCTGCCTCACAGTTTATATCGTCGCAATCAGTCGGGGCGGTCTAAGGAGGGGTGGAATGGCTCACCAGCGGGTTTCCACCATTGGTTGATTTCTTCCTAAATCGATCCCCACTGGTAGAGCGAAGCAGCTGGACAGTAGTGCTACAGTTTACCACTTCCTTTTCGTCGCTTCTCTAAATCAAGAGAAACGAGGCGAATTATACTGCAGTCAAGAAGGTGATAGCGAAAGATATGGGGAGAAGGATGGAAGGATAAAGCTTTTGAGCTGATGATTCCCTCTTCGGAACGGGCCAACCACCTTACTTAGGAATCCTCGTGACATTCGAATGTGACATTTTGTACCCTAACTTGCTAATACAAACCTACACTCCATAACCTGCAGCTGAGGAGGGTGTGGCCACATACTTCACCTGAACATGGCGCACGTTACGTTTTTTGTGAGATGCTTACCTTGGAGGCAACTGCTCCAAGGGGAGCATCTTGCGAAAACGTCTCCTCCCTTGTGTTGTTATACCAAACAGGCAACATCCCACTAGAGGCGTAACCGGTGCCACCTTCTGACGTACACAGCCGCGCCCTCTCTACTTCCGGGATATGGAGCGTATATATTCTTTTCATCTAGGTCAAGCCTGCTACTGATTAGCCGACACATCTGAGGGCTTGGTTTGCCTAAGTCGCTGTTGATTCGAGTTTTCGATCCCTGACCATGTGCTTGGGAGGGGCGCCACTAAATCACCTCCGCCAAAAAGATTAATCGTTTGCTTCAGGTAGACCAAATCTGAAGATTGCTTCAATTGAAAGGGTTTCCACTAACGCAGCTGCCGAGACCACTTGGCCGCTTCGCTGCGTCCTTTCCCCAACCAAGGCTCACGCTTAGAGCGCGGATAATAGGGTCATCGAGATGGATAGTTGCCACTTAAGCACCTGAGTCCGATTAAACGTTGTTAGATCACAGCGAGTGCCTGCCAAGTTGGCCCACCCGACACACATTCGTCGCGATAACGTTTTCATATATCGCACGTTTAGCACATTAACGTCCGATTCTTTCTCTTGGTTCCTGATTGTAAATGGCCACTGAAAAAACAACTTGAATCGCTTGAAATTATTGCAAAAAAAAATGCCCAGATTACATGCATCCTTGCGACGCTTGCGCGTCACTCACATAAAATAAATAAATAATAATAGAATATAAAGCTTCCAAGTTTAACTACACAGCCACCTTTAAAGGATGGGTGATAAAATTCCGCCACTGTATCAGTTTCATTTCACGCTCGCCTAAAACTGGCGGGCTTGTGTTCGCGTCGGCAATGGACGATGAAATCACTACGATACTCACGTGTACTCCTTGGACGGGCTATGGCTGATGAACGGAGTGCTCGAATCGGCCGTCGCTAATGGCAGAGGGAGAGGTCGGCTTTGGCTTGAAGCATTGCTACGTATCTGTTCGCGTTTCGCTTCCGGTAGGCCAGTTCTAAAATGCCCTAATACGCGATGCCTCCTGATAATCTAACACAATCACCTTTTTCATCATTTTCTTCACCCTTTTTCTTTTTTTTTTTTTTTTTTTTTTTTTTTTTTTTTTTTTTTTTTTTTTTTTTTTTTTTTTTTTTTTTTTTTTTTTTTTTTTTTTTTTTTTTTTTTTTTTTTTTTTTTTTTTTTTTTTTTTTTTTTTTTTTTTTTTTTTTTTTTTTTTTTTTTTTTTTTTTTTTTTTTTTTTTTTTTTTTTTTTTTTTTTTTTTTTTTTTTTTTTTTTTTTTTTTTTTTTTTTTTTTTTTTTTTTTTTTTTTTTTTTTTTTTTTTTTTTTTTTTTTTTTTTTTTTTTTTTTTTTTTTTTTTTTTTTTTTTTTTTTTTTTTTTTTTTTTTTTTTTTTTTTTTTTTTTTTTTTTAGCGCAGTTCGGCGACGGATGAAGGCGGGCATTTTGCGTTTTCGTCTTTCATCGGTCCAGGCCCTACAATGTACTCACCCTTGTGAAACCTGTAGACTCCTGTGAAGCTGGAACAAATTCGTCCAGCCACTACGGTGAAACCTGTCAACTCTTGTAAGCTCATGAAGTAATCATCTAGACGGGTACGACATACTACACGTGGGAAGTAGCAGAAGCGCAAAATGCTCCCCCCCCTATCGCCGAACTGCCCTCAACCCTTCTTCTGTTCAGTGATTCGAGCGTCAATTCAGAGTTCAAGGGTCTATTAACTCTTTTACAAGAACTAGTCAGTGTAAGCAGGCGTAGAGGGCTCAGTTCAGAAATTTCGAAGAGTTCTTTCTTTTGCTTTGTTCTTTGTGATATGTGCTGACGCTTCATTCACCTACAGCTTTGAATCGGCCCAAACGGTAACGAAGTAACTCACGTGGTAACCGGCGGTCGTTTCTTCAGGCAGAAGCGATACAGATAGACCACGGCAATGACGACGGCCAAACCGCCGACCACTCCCGACACAAGTACAGCGATCGTAAACAGTGGTCGTTGCTCTTCCTGAAAATGAGACGTAAAAGCTCGTCCGAGCAACATGGAAACTCGTCCGTCCAAAGTCTGGTGGGCGGTGTTCCATATTAACAAAGTAGTGGTCGTGGAACCATCCATATTGAATCTCATAGCAATGGCATGGGAACTCAAAGAATAAATAAGGTCAGAAAACGATATTCAGTCGATTGATAGGACCACGGCCAAAACGGACCCCTCGGACCACGCCCAGCGGAATATACAGAATACAGGAGCGCTAATTGGGCAATAGCTTACTGGAAACATAAAAAAAAAC